TACAGGGCACTAGTCATTCCTAATATCAATGAACTGAGCCAAATGGGGTTGGTCAATGAACCATAGTTAAGTAAACCATGTCTTATGAACTTGGCCAATGCCATAATGGAGTAAAAGCCAAGGATATGCTCTGACATGTATGGACTGAAAAAACCCTGATTGCTCAGAGGAGGCCTAGTTTTTCTGGGAATATTCTCTAGCCTTTCCTGTTCAGAAGGTTACTACCTGGTCTGGATTGTGAAGGTTCTTTTGAAGCATAGGCAAGAAGACAATCTTCCAACCTCATTCTAAAGCACCATCAACTCTGCACCAAAGATGTTCCATAGTAGCCTTAGTGGATAGCATCAGTGGTGGGATTCAAATAATTTAACAACCGGTTCTCTGCTCTAATGATTTCTTCCAACAACTAGTTCACCAAACTGCTTAGAAACCTAACAACCAGTTCTCTTGAAGTTGTGCGAACTGGCTGAATCCCACCACTGGATAGGATCCATATTGCTACATACTGTGTGATGAGCCCCTCAATCAGAAATAAAGTAGATTAATTATGGGCCCAAATGAAGCAAAGAGTTTAAAATTTTGAGATCGCCAGTTAATTTTTTAGCATTTTAGAAGTCAGGATCTTGCAAAGAAAAAGGAAACAAATGAACTAACATTTGCCATTGTAAGAGGATTCACGTTTAGTGCTAAATCATTATTTTAAATAATGGTTTGCTGAATAACGTGCAATTAGCTGGATTTTTACTTGGCAGGCAAGCCAGAAACTATTATTTATTATGTGAAGCTAAGTTCACATAACCAAAAAAGCTAAACCCCTGACTGATTACATTAGGGCTTAAGGAGGAATTTCTACAAAAGAAATCATTTATTGAACAAATTTATAAGCGCACCCTACTCCGGGCAGCTTAAAACATTAAAAATTCATAACAAAAATCCATGAAAGTATACAATCCTTTCTCTGAGGATTTTATACACAGACTTTGAGATCACTTTCTGTATATCACATTTTTTTTCAGAGAGGATTTTAAGACATAGGGAAGGGTTTGGTTGTTAGAAACCTCTATAAGCAATCATTATTATGAGTAACTTCAATGCTCTCCTAATACATGTTGATCATTTCTTTTCCCCCAAGGTTAGGGCAATGGCCATATCTAGCCGAGCATAGGGTTGACTAAGATCAGCATTTGTAGGGACAATGATCAAAACAAAGCAGAGAGCTATGGGTCAGACATCTAGGAAGAAGGCAATGGATAAAACACATGGATGATCTACATACGTTGATATTGTCCTCAGGATTTGCACTCACGTCAAGCAAGTTTTAACTTTTTAAGTGAGGCTTTTTCTACAGAAAAACAGAAAGGCAGTGCAGAGGACAGGGAACAGGCGGATGGGCTGCCCTGCTGCCCCATTCTAATCTTAGCATGTTGCAAAGCACACAACACTATTTTTCTGTTGTTTACAGGGTGGGAGGAGCTGAACCAGCTTTAAGAGTTTGATTGTTTAGATTTAATCCCAAATTGTTTCTGGAATAAAAACACCAGACAGAAACAGCATGCTCATTTTCTAACCGCACATTCAAAGGGACTTATTATGCTCATTTATGAAACTGACATCAAGATTAGCTGTTCCCAGTTGCCAACTTGCTGAACAAAGGGCTTCTCTCCCGAGCTACCTCTGAAGACAATGGATCCCCATCGCCAAACCTCACATTGTTCGGGGCTGAAGGGCTGCCACAGTGCTTTGGACTCTTAAAGTTCATTATGGGCTACAACCCCAGACATGCTGATTTGCTGAAACAGATGGAATTGTAAAAATTATAAATGGCCATCTGGTATTCACAAGTCTATTGTAGGACAATTCAAACAAATGTCAAACAAGGATACAAAAAGCTTCTGTGTGATATGAGGGCACCAGAGGTTTGGCAAATTAAGTGGCATGGAAAGACTTGGCTTAGTTTTAAATGCAACATTTGAAACAAGGCAGTTTTAGGCAGTTTTGTATGGAAACCAGAGACACCTTCAGTGATGATGATGATCACATACGAGGCTCATTTATTTTGAACGTTGGCTCCAAAATCCAATGAACAGACACACTAAGTGAACGTTTCTTCATTGTTTCTTCATGGCATCTGAAAATGTAGTATCACTAAGATTCATGGTTGGCTAACATAGTTTATTGCATAAACTGCCCATAGCTGAGTTTGTACAATGCACTAATCCAAACCAAGTACGGCTTCAGGCAGTGGTAGGATTCTTTTTATTATTATTATTATCACCAGTTCTTCGGCGTGGCATGACTTGGTGGGAGTGGCTTCAAGGGCGTGGCAGAGAAAGGATACTGCAAAATCCCCATTTCCTCCCAATCAGCTGGGACTCAGGAAGCAGAGAATAAATGCGGGTGGGGCCAGTCAGAGGTAGTATTTACTGGTTCTCAAAATTTCTGCTACTGGTTCACCAGAACTGGTCAGAACCTGCTGAATGCCACCTCTGGCTTCAGGTAATAATGAAAACATGAGATGAGACACAGTGATGCATAGCTGCCGTAACTTAGAGAAAGGTGCATATTGGATCAGGCACACCAGTTACTGTATAGCTCTAACATACCAACTGACAGCACTGACCAAGAACTCAGATTTGAAGTTCAATCTTTGTCAATCTGCAGCTTAGGTTACATGTCCTAGGAAGATAAGCTCTCCATCTTCAGAGTGGTAGAGTCTGACGCCAGCCTTAGCCTTGGCCAGCCATTGATTGGCTGGGACTATATGACTGCCAGATAGTCACATAATCTGTATCACTGGTTCAAATTTGGAAGCTGCCTGCTAGTTCAGTGATATAAAGTCCAAGCATAACGTCTAGAGTTATCACAGACTTAGTTTCCCCCTAAGATACCATCCTGGGAGGCTGGAGCAAATTCCAGGATCAAGAGCTGGGATAGTTGTCTTTCTTTCCTGGTGTCTACAATAAGGCATTAAATAAATCAAGATGTTGACTACCGCAATGCAATTGAGACCTCAGCATAAACTTTTTTTGCTTCCCCCATATACTTCCTTCCTTCCTCCCCTTCCCTTCCATGAATAGTGTTATACAATTCATACTGTATTATTTGTGCTTTCCAAATTTAGTGTTATGAGATTTCCAACTGGACTGTTTTTTATTAGGGGCGTCATTGCAATTCCAAAGAGGAGGGGTGGAAAACCAGGAAATGTTTTTCCCTTACTGGTCATGATTCATGAAAGAAGCTGTTGTCTGTGTGTGAAGAATGAATACTGATAGTTGAACCTGCAAGACCAGCTTCCAGGCCAAGCATATCGGGTTTTGGATTATTGTTGCCAGAGTTTATTGTGCTCTAAAAAAAGGAAAATTTGACTCTGAACTTCTAATGTGAGAGTCGGGGAAGCAGGAGACTGGCATGAATGGATTCTCCTTTGTTCAGTCCTAGTTGCTTAAATTCAACCGCCCGAAAGGTGGAATTGAACCACTCTGTCGCTAGACAGCTACAGGTTTGAAGCCTGCACCCCAGACCACTGAGGATCATCCGGGCAAGAAATAAGATCGTTGTTGATACTATATAAAGCTCTTAAACTGTACACTTTTCAAGATACAGTGAGATATGTTGACGGAAAAGTAGAGGGTGTTAAAATTTGAAAAATATTCTGTTAATTAGCTATAATTTTATGATGCATGGTCGTACTCGGGACTCTTTTATTATTAATGTGCATTAGATAGATAGATATTTCTCTCATGCAATTGGGATATGCAAATATTGCTGACGCTGATTGGCCTGCTGCTACTGCAGGCGTGGTTTAGAAGAGCGGGTTTACAGAAGCAAGGCTTTCTCCCCCTGCGGCTCGCTTGCGACACCTTGGCTGGCTAGATCAATTAATTCTTTTCAAGGTACCTGAAGAGTCAGTCCTACTTCGCAAGTTTGGAACTGCGCGGCCCCCTTTTTATGGAATGGGAATCTGCTGGGGAGGGGAGGAGACTCGGGAAGCAAGCGCCGGACGTCTTTGCTTTGTCTAAGGGCCAACTGTGCTGCAAAAGAATCGCCTTTCTTGGCGGAAAGACGTGGGTAGAGATTTGCGTCAAGGAGAGTGCACTTTGCATTTGCTCAGAGGCAAGCGTCCAGGGCCAGCCTCACCAGTTCGGATAGTCCGGCTGGTTTCCCAGCTTCTCCGGCCGATTGCACCAGTTCAAGAGCGAAACGGACCACTGTTGTCCCCAAGAAAAAGTCCACTTTTCGCAGACCACTCCCAAACCAAAATCTGTTTATCGTAACTCAGAAGATTTATATCCCTCAGGGGAAAAAATCACAGATGAAACGGCTAGTTTGAGAGGTCTCTAGTTCTGCGATTGGCTTTGCCTCAATTCTGCTTATTATTTAGTTCCTATAAGCTTCTGAAAACTTCTGAATAAACCAAGCACCCTTGTTTGATAGATAGAGAAGGGGGGGGGGGGGGGCAGGCAGACACAGGCAGGTTCTCATCTAAGTATGAACATACAGGAAACTGATCAACTATCTGAATTATCTCTCTGTGTGGGCTCTGATGGCACCCTGATCTTACCATATAGACTGGGTCTGCACAGTAGGTAATGTGGTTGGCTACTTGGACAATATCTGGACCTGGTTAGGACTAGATAGGAGACCACCTGGAAATCCAAGGTGCTAATCTAGAGGCCAGTGAGTTGAAAAAGCATCTCTGAAGAAAGCAGTTGCCAATCACATTCATACAACTGCCAAGAAAACTCAGAGGTTTGTCCACATAGTACCCAAGAATCAAATTTAACTCAAAGAAGACCAGCTTTATTTGATGCATAGCTTGTCCTGTGAATGTTTTTATCAATCATCAGTCATTGCTAATGAGACAGAGACTGCAATCCTTGGTATGCTGACATAAAAATTAATTTCCATCAAAATGAATGGGATTTACTTCAGACAATATAGATACCACCTGAAACCATGTATGGTTTACCATTTGTTCTCTTTCAGATTCCAAGCAAGAAACAAATCCTCTGTTCTTTTTGTTCTTGTTCTGGATCCAGATTTCTGATTTTTGACATGCATTTAGGCATATCCTGGTTCCTCTTGAAGTGACCACTCAGCCAAGCTAAAGTCTAGTGGAACAATATGGAAGGAAAACAACTTGAGGTACACTCGAGCCTACTCCGAAACATGTTGCTGTAACTCTAGTATCATTTTGGGGAAAGTTCCAGGAAAACTATTCAGGAAAATTAATCTCTTTAGGAGGAGATTGGTCAACCATTTGTCTGAAATGGTATAGGGTAGGGGTGTCCCGCGGGCCGGATGTGTCACGTGCTGACCATGGCCATCCCTTGTTTAGCAAAGGGGGGAAAAGTCATGATATGTCACATGACAAGAATGTCACGCTGCGAGTTTGACATCCCTGATATAAGGGTTTTTTCTTTGAGCAGGAGGTTGGACTAGAAGACCTCCAAGTTCCCTTCCAACCCTGTTCCAATCAAGAAAATCTATTTTTTATGGCATCCCAGCCCCTTACTTTGGGGGATTATAATTTTCCCTTGCTGAGTATTCAAAGCCAGTTCTGCTTTTGTTACACCAGATTGGAATGTTGACCTATTAATAAGCTTGTGGCTGGAATGACACACCCTGTGCTATTGACCAGCCCCTATTGCATTGGGGTTGCTACAGCTGTATCACCTGACACAGATCTATGCCTCACTACCCTGCATAGATTTAGCACAAGGGTCTCTAAAGTTGGCAATTTTAAGACTTATGGACTTCAACTTCCAAATTCCTCAGCCAGAAATCCTTCCCTTTGCTGCTTCCCATCTTCCATCACAAGAGATTTTTATTTTTACTTTATTTACCTTGTCACTCATGTATAAGATAACAGGAATAAGAATAAACATGAATAAGAATACAGGAAATGGGTACAAATACATGGGGACATCAGGATAGGGATTTTAGGCACGCTGGTGCACTTTTACACGCCCCTACTGACCTCTTAGGAATGGGGTGAAGTCAACACTAGACAGTTTAAAGTTAAAAGTTATGGGGGTTTGAGGATGTAACAATGGAGTCAGGTAGAGCATTCCATGCATTGACCACTCTGTTGCTGAAGTTTTATTTTCTGCAATTGAGTTTGGTGCGGCTTACCTTGAGTTTGTATCTATTGTGTGCTTGTGTATTATTGCGGTTGAAGCTAAAGTAGTCATTGACAGGTAGGGCGTTGTAGCAGATAGTTTTGTATACTACGCGTAGGTCACACCGTAGGCGGCGTAGTTCTAGGTTAAGATGACTGGTCTCAGGATGGCTTTGTTCTGCCACAGACTCAGAAAGCTACAGGAGAGAGAACCAAGAAACTCTGATAACAAGCTTAAAATCCCCCCTTCCCCTTTTCCTTGTTGTTCTTGCACAGCAGACGATGCCACTAAAGCTTTACTGAACTGAATTCAACCAGGCCTTCAAGTGAGAATGGGTGTGGTCCTTCTGGCCTTTCCCAAAAAGAGTGGCGGCTTTTCTTTCCACACTCCCACTGCTCTGTTTCCCTGGGACAAGTAGTTGTGTCTTACGAAATCTCTCTAGGGGAAGGAGGCAGGAAAATCCAACAAACGTCATGGCAAAGCTGACACAATGCAAGAGAAGCCGTTGCTTTTTCCCTGTTCAATCCTTCCAGACGTGGGTCATAGAGTTCCTCTCAAGTAGCTCTTTGATTTATCTCTCTCTGGGTTTCTGTCCCCTTCCACCAAATACTTTTGAGGGTTTCAGTTAGTCTTTGTCAGGCTCCATAGCTCAAGCCAGCAGTTGTGATGTCTTTGAGTTATTAGGCCAATCTTAAACTTGGTTCTAAGTTGCAATGCCTTTTAATTTTGGATTATTTGGTGTCAGTATTTTGGGTGCCAGGGGGGAGATATTACATACACCTAGCTATAAATCTGTTATCAATTATCCATCTATCCACCTACCTACCTACCTTTGCATTTTTGCAAGTTCCAGAAAATTAAGCAGCCTGGCAGGTTTGCCCATGCTTTCTCTCAATCCCAATTTTCTGGCTTTGCATGAGCCACGGAACTAACCATATGTACTTGGTTTGCAAAGTACTCTAATTGAGCATGTGGCTTGTGGCTTTGAAGTTCTGTGTAGTGAGAAAACTCAGCAAGGAACAACACAATTTAGGTCAAGAGTTTGTTGATTTAAGATAAGTTTTGCCAACCTGGCATCTTCCCCAAATATTTGAAACACATGTGGCTGGAGGGTACTAGTTGAGAAAGGCTGATTTAGAACATGATGAACTGTTCTGAAAGTGTCTCCCTGCCCTTTCTGTACAATCCTTTTATGGGAATTCTCCAAGTTGATGACAGCTTTATATATAATAGCACCCTTTCTTCTAAAAGCATTGAAGTACTTTATTTATCTTTCCAATAATTGGGTGAATTAGAGATAGATTGGCTTACGGTCAGCCACTAAATTAAAAATGTGGCATGGATTTCAGTCCAACCCTTTCCAGCTCAGGTCTGCTCTGTGTTAGCTTGAAACTCTTAAGGCCAAAATAATTCTGGCTTGAACCCTCTTATTGGAAACAGGCACAGAGTCTGAATGCGAAGCTCCACGTTCTCCTTACAAAGTTAATGGTTCATTGCAACTGATCAATCCCTTACATCAGCAGTTGCAAATCAACTTAAGGTACAGGATTGCCATCTTTTATAATTGGACCTGTTCTTAACCCTTTAAAAGCAGCATGTTTTCCTGCAATTAGGGAGGCAAGTGTTTTTTTCCCTTCCCTTTAACTGCACTAGAGGAACAGCTTCCTTTCTAAGTTTCTAAACGATGGGACTGCAGAAGAGAACAATAATTAAAAGATACTCTTCTTCCCTGGTTGTATTTTAAAAAAGACCGATGAGGGGTGTCTCGAAGACCTTAGATAGAGTTCTAACTGAAAGGAAATCTCAGAATATGTGAAACAGGCCTATTACTTATTTTACTGTCTCTTCCTTCTATGCCTTTTAACTTGAGATTCCATATCCGAACTAAAAAATTTGGATGGTCACCAGATATGGTACCCTTAGAGAGTACAGTAGTTGGATATGAAATTTGTGGCAAATGAATGTTCTAGATATAAATAAATAAATGACTTTTAAAGTTGGTTGTTAATCAGCTTTCTGTAGTTTTTTTTCTGATGGTATATTTTGTGTAGAGTATATATCATCCTATGTCTTCTTGCTCGTATGAAGTTCAGTTAATAAATATACTTTCTGTTTTCCAAGTATATAGGCAAGTTGAATAGTTGGGAGTGTGGCAGCATACATAATTACTTATTTATCATTTATTCAATTATTAATAGTAATAGTTGTGTTATTTCTTACCAGTAGGATGTATATATACATAAGAGATGACTGGGTTCACGATGCTGACTGGGGAATTCTGGGAGTTGAAGACTACACATCTTAACGTTGCCAAGTTTGAAAAGTGCTGCATTGCCTAAACCATACAATAGATTGTTCATTTATAGTTTGATATAATGTAGGAACACATTCAATTAGGTTTTTTTAAAGAAACCATAGCTAAGAAAATTATGGCTTTGCATGATGGGTAAATCTGGCTATTTGCCATTGGAGCAATACGGTGTTTTCATTTCAGCCCTAATGGCTTTCTGGGAATAAGAATTACCAACCAATGAGAAAATTCACCTCTGTTGCCTTTGAAGAGCTCAGTGTCCATTGTTTGAAAGGAGAAGTCTGATTTTTTGTTCCTGCTCTCCAATTCTGATATATTGGTTTTGAATATAAAGTGGTTGGACGAATATATGAAAAGCTTATGATTTCAATGCCAAAATCAAGGAATTCTTACCTCTTTGCATTTCATAGCTGTGCCTTTCAATGCCATTGAGAATAAAATAACCATGTAAGACTGGCTACCTAAAATTGCGAGTTGTGAGCCGCCCTGAGTCCCTTTCAGGGAAAAGGGCGGCATACAAATAAAGTAAATTCAATAAAGTAAATTCAATTGCTTTGTAAGGAAGGAAAATGGGGCAAGGGAAGCAGATTGGGGGAGGGAATTCCTGCCATAGTAATCTGGGCAGAATTCCTGAAAACTAGGAAAAAGGATGTTTGCCTCCAGATGCTCATGATCCCATCTCACAGACAATGAACACTGCTGGCCTTCGGATCCACAATACAAATGGGGCCAAGGACAGATGACAAAGTTCCATTGTGGTGAGATCGATTGATTTCCTCCTCTTGTTGCTAATCACCATAGTTTAATATTAAAAGATTACTTCAGATTTCCCCATTTTTCATTTAGAACCCGGGAGAGGAGCTGAAAGTCCGTGTTAGTTTTCTTGCTTGCTTGTAAGAATGTCCCATTTGCATCTTTCATCACATGTGATCATGTATCTGATCCAAACTATCCAAATCATTGGGATCCAAATGAACTTCTAGTTGTGCAAGTGGTTGGCCTGATGCTTTGCTGTGGTTCAAACATTAAGCTAAGTTGCAATGCAATTTTCTTGATTTTTAGCTTGAATATCTTTTTAGTTTGTATAACATACACTGCACAAACCTGGGTTCAGGCAACTCCGTGTGTTATCCTTTGCATTAAATCATGTTTTTTGAATAAGTTACAGTTGCCTATAACCTCACCTCGCACTAAGCCGGCATAAACCACAGTTTACATATTACACTTGCATTGGATTCATATGACACATTTAGCTTACCCATCCCCGCAATAATAATTCCTAATAACAATTTATGACAGCTTGAATTGCAAACCTCACTGAATTGTTTCTTTATAAGTCATTTGTAAGAAGTGGAATTGGTTCGACAGGAATGGGTTTGTACAATATGCTTGGTAGCTTTGGTTTAACCTGCTATGTGAACTCACTAATGTTTATGTCCTAGGGCAGGGCTGTCAAACCCACACCCCGCGGGCCAAATGCATCAAGCGCTGGCCACATCCATGCTTGGTTTAGCCAGGGGGGGGGGAAGTAGCGATACATCATGTGATGCCATTGGGACGACGCGAGTTTGACACCCCTGACCTAGGGTATTGTGTTAATCTGTCCAATTGTAGTTTAATAAAATTCATAAACAAACAAGAGAGGGGGGGGGATGAATGAGTTTATATGATGTATTACACAGCAGCCATATTTAAGTTTTTTTTTAATCTTG